CGGCGATCCAAACTCACCCGCGAACAGAAAGCCAACCAGGAGAAGCGGCCAATGAACAATAGGTCGAAGTTCCTTTATTCGTTGTAAGTTAACCTTTCCAGAGCTTTCCACGTGCGCGTTAAATACCATTCACGAACTTTACATTTTACCTTTATAATAAACGGTGTGATTCGCTAATAGATCCCTGTTGCTCTGCTGGTCCGATGCGGCTTTCTCTCTGTCCTGTGTGGGGGCCAGCAACTTGGGTTTGATTGGGAATCAAGCGTCCATTCAGGCGAGGGACGAAAACCACAGACGCGGCGGCGATTGAGCGGATTCGGCCGTAGTTTCTCGTTGTGTAGCCAATCCAAAGGTATCCAACAGGATATGCAGCGGCAGGCGCACAGGAAGGCTGGCTGGCGTGGAGGGTTCTCCGTGGTGCGGTCGAAGGTGATTGCGATGGCGAACCCACGTGTCATCGCTCACGGAGACCTCATGCAGCATGTCATCTCGCCTGGCCGTCACAGTTGCTTTGATCCTGCTCGATAATCGCGAGCGTAGAGCGGGGCTCCAACGACGAATTCTTTGTGCTTGGTGCAGGCACTAAAGTGACTAGTTGGCTTATCAGTCGGAATGAGCGCTTCGTTGGTAGTGCATAGCTTGCGGCTCATCAATGCTTCAGCTGGTGACTGGCATCCTGGCGTAGATGGATTCAGTGTGGACCGGTACGAGAGCAGGAAAGCTTGAAGACACTCATCCACGGTTCCCTCCCCGCGAGATTTCAAAAGCGCCCTCTTGAAGGTGTCGACAAATCTCTCCGCTTGACCATAGGACTGGGGATGATAAGGCGGTGAGCGGAGGTGTTGGATGCAGTGTTGGCGACAAAAGTCTTCGAACATGGAAGACGTAAACTAGGTACCGCTGTCAGACACCAAAACTTCGGAAAGGCCATGTTGACTGAAGATGCGTTGGAGACAACCCAGAGTGGCGGATGCGGTTGGTGGGTTGACGGCGACCACCTCTGGCCATTTGGAATAGGCGTCCACCACGACCAGATAGGAAATGCCATCGATGGGACCAGCTTAGTCGATGTGCACTCGAGACCACGGTTTTGCTGGCGAATGCCAAGGAACCGGTGATTGGTGTGGTGGCATCTTTGAGGCTAGTTGACATTTCGAGCAGTGGCGGACCAGATCTGTATGTCGTTGTCAATGCCAGACCAGTACACATAACTGCGGGCAAGTGCCTTCATTCTGTTCATACCGGAGTGAGTAGAATGGAGCTGGCGGAGTATAGCTTGCCGGAGGCATGAAGGAACGACAACTCGATCTGCAGTCATGAGGCAG